CTATAATTAACAATTTAATTTTTTAATTACTTTAACATTACTTTTAGTCACCTATCTCACTCACTGTTCCAACTTTGGAGAGACATCTTTGGATTTATTTATTGTTTTCGATCTTCATGTTAGACTCTTAAAATCTATTTTTGTGTCTTATTTGCTTTTTTTTTGAGCCTGAAGATATATGCAGAAAAGGAAGAACTACATCACTGACATCACTTCTGGACAAGCCCATGCTAAGTAATATTTAAGCTCAGAAATAATAATACCTGTGTATCTGTCAGATCCTTGGTGGGGGGAGCTGAGTGAGTCTAGTAGTTCCGTGAGTTATGGTTGCATCTGCTATTGTGCTGTTGACTTCAGAACTCGGGCTGCTGCTTCTGTTCGTGTTTAGTGCATGTCCTCAGGTGATTGTCCATGGCTTCTTCATGTTCCGACTTCACTCTCAGCTGACCATGGTACAGGTGTCACAGAGGGCATCTGCACTCTTGCCCCTCCTGGTGGTGGACCATGTTACTACTTCCTCAGCCTGAGGCTCCAGACAGAGGCCTCATGACCTTTATTTAGTCTTGGGTTGGCTCTGTTCATGTGGAGCTCAGGGTTTCCGCCACTTCCTTCTCCATGACAGCCAAACTCTGACCTGCCTTTCTGATGTTCTTGGTTGGGTCCTAGACTCCCTGACTCCCTCCCAGAGGAAGCAGATTTCTCTTCTGAATCACTGTAGAATTGTGTACCTCGTCCCTAGGGATGGATTGCTTTTGCTGCCCTTGTTCTTGCTCTCAACAGTAGCATGCTTTTGCCTATGCCTACGCTGGGTGGCACAAGGGGTCCTACTGTTGCCCTGCGGCAACCTGTGGAAGTTTGTTGTTGCTCAGTGCACAAGTTATGGTGAGGGCAGAGAGGTTTCTTGATCTACCTTCAGAGATAGACAGCTTTTTGTTTCTACATTTCCTTGGATGCAGCAGCTTAACACTTCCTATGATTCTTTTTTGCTCTTGCTTCTTAGTAGAGAAGCATTCAAGAGGCAGACAGGGTTTCATAAAGACGGGCACCAGGCCACGAAAGGCATCCTCTCAGCTCTCTTGCCTTCATTCATCTCTCCGCCCAGCTCACTAAGGATGTCTGTGGCTGCAGGGATCTAACTGTAGCAGTAGTCCCCATGTAGCATTTGAAAGCTTGGTGAGATTTAACTCTTACCTATTTTTTCATGGTAGCCCTCTCTTCATTTTGGTCCCATGCAGATGTAAAAATATGTTCTTTAACTTTTCTCAGATGGTCTCATCAATCTTTGGAATTTGACTCACCTGATTATCTTACAAGCTGGTTTCCCTGATAGACTTAAGACATTGCATGATTTTCTAAATAATGTAGCTTTTCCTCTCCTTTTTAGAGTGGGAGCTGTGTCTACTTTCAGCCTTCTGTATCCTGTATTTAGCTCCCTTTTTCCTTCTTAGCACAGTTAAAATCAAATCTTTTTACAGCCTTTTAAAATTCTCAGCATCCACCGAGTCCCTGCAGGCCAATGTGCAGAGGCTGAAAGAGTACTGCTACAAACTCATCCTTGGGCCAGCCAAATAGCTCAGCGGATTAAAGTGCCTGCAAGCAAGTGCAGGGGCCAGGGGTTTGATCCCTGGGCCTGCTGTGCTGGCCCTGCCCCTGGGGCACACTGAAATGGCAATTGAGACTGGGTGTGGCAGTGTGCACCTGTAATCTCAACTCTTGGGAGGCTATAAACAGGAGAATCACTATGAGTCCGATCTAGTAGTGAGACCCTGAACAGTCCGTAGACCCTTCCCTGAAATAAAATAAAAGGAAGCCATTGGCCCCCCAAAAAAGGAGACAGCTCTGTTGAAGAACTCAAATTGGCCACCCAGCTAAAAGGACCTGTGATGCCCATCAGGAACATCTACAAGAAGGAGAAGGCCAGGGTCCTCAGGAAGAAAAGAACTTCAGGGCATTTGCCAGTCTGCGCATAGCCCATGCCAGTGCCTGGCTCTTTGGCATCTGCGTGAAGAGAGCCAAGGAAGCCGCAGAGCAGGATGTTGAGAAGAAAAAATAGAACACTCATGGGATCTTGTAATAAATGCTCACAAAAGCTACAAAATAAAAAAATATATATATTGGCATAGGTTTTTAAATTGTTGTATTCAACTTCTATATATACACTATTATTTTTAGGGCACTTCTGACCACTTCATAAGTCTCCTAAGTCTTAGCACTTTTTTGCAATGTGTGTTTGTCACTAACATAAACATGTAACAGTGCACTTGTGCGTGCTATTTATGCTGGCTTGGGAATGTTCACATTATTCTAATAATGGTAGCCTAGAACAGAGAGATGTTTAAAATGGGATCAAGGCTTATTAATTTGTTTTAGAAGCTGTTTATAACTAGAGGAATTTTCTTATTCAGTTTTAGCTTGGGGCATAATCCTATGTTTGAACATTGGCTACAAGTGACAAAAGCGAGTTCAGTTGCTTCAGTACTTTGATATTTCTTTCTGGACTCTGCTCCTCTCTGAAATCTGCTCTAGGTTTCCATGCAGGATTTCCTCAGGTTCTCTGGTGCCCCATATTCATATGGGAATATTGCCACACACAGCTTCTATGTGAAATTTTCCAGAACTAACAAGAAACTATTCTATATCCCAAATCCATACCTCCATTAAGAGAACTAATGAGTCCAGCTTGGATATTAATTTACTTTTAGGATAAGGATCTGTTTCTAAATCATTGGTATAAAACACATAGTATCAGAGGAAAAGATAGTGACCTGTCCAGGCTTGGCCTAATGCCCACGTTGGGCCAGGTACCACTCACTAGTTGGCAGGCAGAATTAATATTATGCAGAGTACATTGTCTCAGGTAACAATTTTTATTAGTGGTTCAAGGAGTTTGAGGAGGATTAAGAGATAGAAATAAGGATCTGTGGTATTGGCAAGATAGCTCAGCAGACCAAGCGCCTGCTTAGGCAAACTCAGGGACTGGCTTTCGATCCTTGATTCTCTTGGGCATGCTGAGCCTGCCACTGAGTCTGCACGTGGAGGTATACGCCTGTAATCCCAGTACTGGGGAGGCTGAAAACAGTATTACTACGCGTCCGAGCTTTGTAGTAAGACCCTGTACAAAATACATTAAAAAAATGTAATAAAATTTTCCTCAAGTAGATTTGATTGTGATATATTGAAAAGTAAATGAAACTCTTAAAATCCCTTTCCTGAAGATAATATGACCCTATGTGCTGGTCTATAAAAATCCCGTATGTTATAATAATATAATAGCTCACTTTCCCTCATTTCCCTTAACATTTTTCATGATACTGATATGTTCTTAGTTTAAGATAAAAGATACTCAAACATAATATGTGTTGGTTTATTGAAGCTAACTTATAATATTACCTATGAATAAAACAAATATAAGATACAATTGTTATTTTATGTGTATTTTGTTGTTGAGCATTATAAGACAAAGGTATACTTACTCTATGTACAGGTCCTTTTTGAGGGCACTCCTGCATCTGAATCGGGTGTCAACCTTTGATATTTTTGATGTGAGTTTGGTTTCATTATGGAGAGTGATTTATGAGCCGTGCACCTGAAAAGATTTTAGATCCAATGGCTTCTGGGCATGACGGCTGTACACCATTCACTAGGCCTGGGCCTCCGTAAGCTAAATTATAGAGTACTTACAGGCACACATTTTTCCTGTCAAGAACTATGGGGCATGTAAAATGTATTTATGATTGATAGTAGGGCACACAGAGTTTAAAACCTACATTTTTAAAGTTAGACTGGTTAACCTTGTGTACTACTATAACATGGTGCTTTGGAATAGAAGCCACAGCAGTAACACTTGCTGCCACAAGAACCATATTTATTAACTCAACAGAGCTGTAAGAGACAGATTTGAAAGGCAGAACACTATTTCATCTTGAGAATCAGTTTTGATTTTCATCATCCGAGGTCTCTCCAGATCCCCCCACCCTTTTCTTTTTTTTTTCTTTCTTTTTTTTTTTTTTTACTGGACATGCTAAGCAATCCTATATAATCTGAAAGCTTATGAATTTTCCATCACTGCCTTCTGACTTTAAAACTAACTGTAAATATTTCTAAATCTCTTCTTCTCAATGCATAAAAAGGTAAAAAAAAAAAAAAATGAAAAGAATTGAAGACAATAGCATATTGACTTGCTATCTCTCTTTATCCCTTTAAGACCCCCCTTTTTCTTTTTCTTTTTTTAATGTTTTTTGTGCAGGGTCTCATTATGGAGCTCAGACTCAAAGTGATCCTCCTGTTTTCAGCCTTCTCAGTGCCGGGATTACAGGCATGTGCCACCATGCCCGGACTCGGTGGCTGGCTCAGTGGGCCTACGGGCAGGGCTGGTGCAGCATGTGGTGCCAGGGGTCAAACCCAGTCCTTGCACTTGCCTAAACAAGTGCTATCCACTGGACTGTCTCACTGACCTCCTCAGAACCTTTTCTGATACATAAGATTTTGCAGGAAATTGTTTCGTTGCTTAGCCCAAAACAGTCAATAATGCCTTAAACTGTATATCTTGTTTTGTAGTAAGTAAACATTTCTAAGTCATTATGGCTAGAAATAAGGAATTTGAAAGCTAATAGCTTTGAAAAACTTATAAGGATGAACTATAGGCAACTTAGGCTCACCTTAAGCCTCCAAATCAGAAAATACTGAGAGATCCTACACTATTCTGTGAATAAAAGATATCTCATCTTAAGAGAACAGTAGTATTTTTCTTGTGTTTATTTGTGACTGTCATTATTTCTCTAGAAGTTATTTGGGGGTTGAAAGCTAGTTGTCATATTTGTAGCTTTATAAAGATTCAAAACTATAATTGAAAACTATATGATAATGCCACCTACAATTTTTCCCCTTAAAAATACCTATATTGACTAATATTTGTTTGTTTGTAATCCAACAAATGAAGCCAAAGAAATATGTCCATATGTAATATACTTTTACTCAAAATAGGCTTAATTTTGTTTCAGGATTCATTTTGGAATGAATGGCTCCATAAGAATTAATCCACTTCCATACAAAAACAAAAATGAAATTTCTCCTGTTTTTGAACTGCAGCTCACCAGTGATTTGATTTGTTTCTTTGACTCATCAGTAGAACTCAGGTAAAAAAAAAAAAAAAAGAAGAAGAAGAAGAAGAAAACCAAAAAAGTACACAGGGCTTGGACCTGCAATTTGGTTTGGGACCTCACCTGTGTTGCTAAGGGTTTATAATTGATGAAACTTCATTATAAAGGACCTTAAATAATAAAATTCGTTATGGTGTTCATTTTCCATAGAACCCTTATGCCATGATTAACATAAAGTGTTTATATTAAAGCTCATTTTAAATGACACTGAAATTGTTAACCAGACTTTATGATTAATGTGTTTTATATTCCTTTCTGCAGAAACTCAACGGAAATCCAACAGAGAATAAGAAGGATGGAAGAATTAGATGTGTGTTCACCTAAATTTAGTTTCCTAAGAGCAGAAAGTGAAGTTAAAAAGCAGCGCGGCCGGATGCTCTGTGATGTGCTTTTGGATCAGAAAGTGTTGCCTGGTGTTGGGAACATCATCAAAACTGAAGCATTGTTTGACAGTGGTCTCCATCCAGCTGTCAAAGTAAATCTTACGTATTTTTAAATTATTCCTCTATATTTAAGTAGTATTAAAGACTAATGCAGATCCTTAAATTTGAGTTTCAGAAGCACATCCTGCTGAGGCTGCAGGTCTCTTTCAAGCCTTTGCTTGTGTGGCTTCTCAGGTGGCCTGTAGTGAACACCTTCCCCCCATCTCATTCCCAGGCTTCCTTAATGTGCTTCGACTTCTGTATTTTCTATACCGTGTATAACTCAGACACAACATAGTTAGTCGTTACATTTGTTTTAAAAAATGTGTCTCCTGCTAGAATACAGTCTCCAAAAAAACACAAATCTGTCCTGCTCAGTGACTCATACAAACATCTAGAGAACAGGGTCGGACTTTTGATAGACTTTAAACAGACATTTGCAGAATGTGTGAATGAACGAAGCTCATTACTTTTTTTTTTTTTTTTCTGTCTGGCAAATTCAATACATACTCAACACATACTTGTGTATTCCTAATCTTCATCTATTCCTGCTCATGACGGTGGCAGAAAATCCTCTCTCAACAGAATGGTAAGATTGGAATTCAGGTAGCAAGAACTAAGGAAGAAGCAATCAGCAAGCAGATGGGAGCAAAAATTAGTGTCGCTGTTGAAATGACTTAGACTGGTATGAAGATGGAAATACTGAGCTGCTAGAGGGGACACCAGGACAAAGAGTGGATTTGTGGGTTTTGAGTTTTGTGTTTCAGCTGAAGAGGGGTGAATTTATTTATATATAGGCAAGGGAAAAAACCCAAAAACTGGAGAGAGAAAGATGTTAAAGTCCTGGAAAAGAGTGGTGATTCACACAAGTTCAAGTTCAGAGAGTTTGGACACTGAATGCAGGCAGAATACCTGTATGTTAGTTTCCAATGGAGAGTCCACATCAGGGTTTTTATCCAGATTTGTTACTATCAGCCGAATTATCTGTAACTCAATTAACTATGCCTATTAATTATATTTTTAGCTCAGCTATATAATTATTGTTAACTAAATTACTCTTAATGTACATCCAGAGTTACCTTTGTTTTGTGTACTTTTGGAATGATATTAATAAAAACAAAATCAGTAAGAATTAAGTTTTAACAGAAACCAGCTGTTAATTTTCAAATAGATTCTCTCTTTGGGAATAATTTAGTTTAATGTGGCTATAATTAAACAATATTTTAGCATAAAATTAAAAAAAATTAGTACTAAGTTCCTAAATTGCCCAGACTGGGCTTGAACTTGCAATCTTGCCTGAGCGTCTGAGAGGGCTGGGATTAGGGACATGTATTCCCATACCCAGCTATGAATAAACATCTTAAAATCATTTACACCTCTATGGAAAATGTTTGTTAAAAACAACAGAGGGTAGAGTTAGTGTTATCTGTAATTAACTGAAGATTTCCTTTTTATCTGTACAACAAACCAGCCATTTATCTGTAATGTCAGCAGAATTAAGAATTCTGACATTCCTAAAGTTTAGTCATTAGACACCCAGCCCAGGCCCAGTGTGTGTGTGGGAGAGCTACACTTCAGTCATTAGTCTCCTAAAACTATGGGTGAGATTATTGAAAAAGAAATAGTTTACCATTTGTAGATAAGTCCTAACATGTATACAAGATATTTTAAGTAATGTTTTTAAAATGCATAAACTTTAAAAGTTAAATAGTTGAACAGTTATACTTGTAGAATAATTATGTTGATTAGATTTTAATTTTTATAGCCCCTGATCATTTATTTATGTATGTGTATAAGTGTGTGCATGTGTATACATTCAAACATAGCAAACAAGCGCAAGGCATCAGACAGAATTTCTTTTGGAATTACTGTCAAAAGCACATGGACCAAATGATAGTTAGCTCTGAGATTCACACCACACTTTGTCATGAAAGAATTCCTCACAAAGTCTGTTTCTGAGTCCTTCAAAGTTTTAATAGGTATTTTGTGTTAACATGTGAATATATATTCATGTCTTTTTAAAGCTTCATGGTGATGTTGATGGTCATCTACTCCTTTGGCTACTTTTCCCTACTTTTTTTCTATTTTATTTCCATTTTTTTTCAAGTGGCTAGCAGATAATGCTGAAGCACTGATGATGTCTAGTGCAAAATATTCAATAAATATTTTAATTGAGAATTAAAATGTATAAGTAGGAATTATATTTTTAACATTACTATAAAAATAAAGCTAATTAATTGCACTATATATGTAAGAAACAGAGTTCTTGGAAATATGCATGTACCTTAAATCTGTGTGTAGTTGTCTTTAACAGAACTCATAAGTGGCATTTGTCTACAGTAATAAATTGTGAAATTTTGCTGTTATTTTTTCTATCATTAGGTTTTTCAATTAACAGATGAACAGACCCATCACCTTGTGAAGATGGTACGTGATTTCAGCATTCTCTTTTACAGGGTAAGATCCAAAATTGTCAAGTACTTAAATGTCAATGGTTTCCCTTTGATTGACCACAAATGTGCAAGTTGTATATAGCCATCTAGTGGTAAGAGCATAGAGATACAATAAAGAAGCATGACATATTATGGGCATAATTAACATCTTAAAGTTCTAGATGATAGGTCAATCCAAATTTGTCCGGCTATGGTTATGTTATATTATCTTTAGACTAAAATGCGGAACAGTTGTGCTTTAGATTTTTACTCTAAAAATATAAAAAAACATAAAGAGAAAAAATATTAGAATAAGTACTTTAAAATTTGCTACTTATCAGTGATATAGATTATTTAGAAACTATTTAAATTTAGTTTTTTCATCTGTACAACTGGATAACATTTATAATAAAAACTATTCTGAGAATGAAATAAGTATTTCTAACAGGTAGATTCTAAAAGTTGTGTATATCATATGTAGAATTCAATAAACATTTTGTATTTTAAATAAAGTATGTGTGATAAGTCTGTCACAGTCTCTTTTCTGTATTCAGAATTATTTTACTGTGTTCAAAAGGAAGGGACACTACTCAGATATGTTAAGCATAGAAATAGAATATTAATCAGTACACATGATTCCATTCTATATTTTTAAAAGTAATTTTAAAAAAGGAAAAAAGGTTTAGTAGCATTCTTCATTACTTGACTGAAAGTACTAATGAACCTCTTGGTTTGTGTATCTGTTTGTATAACTGTGGCTATTTCAAAACTACACAGACTCATTTATTGTTCCAGAGAAAAATTACTGCAGAAAATAGCCCATTTTCTGCCCAGATTAAATTGAATATTTCAATACTCTGCTTAAATTAATATAAATTGTGTAATTTTAAGCTCATGAGAAATGGTGATTCCTATTTCTCAACTTATAAATTTTCTCACTGTTGATGTTAACCCCAAATATTGTCTTGGTCAGAACTTTAAGTGGATGTGAGCAGAACAAAACTGGCAGAAAATATAAAAAAAGTCTTTTGAAATAGAACATAAGCCACAATGGAACATATCTCTGGTAGGATGGTACAGGAATTTTTATTCTCTTTCTAGTGAATTTCTAAGGATATATATATACATCCTTTTTCAAGTCAACAAAGAAAATAGTCTTGTTAAATTTTGTTCCCTAGAAATGTTTTTGGCTTTTGAAACTGAGCGAGTAGCTTCCACATTATAAAATAGTCAGATTTAAAGCTAATCTAGTCTTTCTCTTATAACCACAAAACTATGTTTAATGACAGACTTAAAATACAAAAGATATTTTAAAATACAAGAACTTTAATATACCATTTAGATAAGAAGATAGTCATGCAAAGAATAACTGTGTGTGCTAATGCGTTATCGTATAATGACTTTCTTATTTCACGTAAATCTTGATTCACCGACATTACTGGATCTTATCAAAACCTTTTGCTCAGATGAAAGAAAATATTATAGGGAACTGTGTGCAAACATAGGTAAGTATTAACAAATTGTTTTCAGAGTAAACTTTCAAGAGTCTATCTGGCTCCTAAGTAATACTGTTTTGTCCATAACTTCCTTTTTTTCCTTTTTTTTTAAAGTGCTGTAAAACAGGATCAGCTATATCTAAACACTATAAGATTTACAAGCGCCCTAATTGTGGTCAGTGCCGCTGCAAAGTTACAGTGTGTCGCTTAGGGGAAAATAACAGAATGACATATTTTTGTCCTCGTTGTCAAAAAGAGAATCCTCAACACATGGACATATGGTAAGATATCAGATTTAAATCACCTAATTAAAAGGCTAATTTCAGGGAATATAACTGAATGACTGTCAGTCTATTCATAAGGGACCATAATTCAAAAGTATTTGAAGCTTTGAAAGGACATGGTTAAAAAAAAAAGTCATCAAAGAATCAAAAGGAGCCAAAGCTGATACATATAGATCACTTCTGAATTCAGTTAGAAAACCTCTTACTCAATGATAGCCACCTTGTAAGGTGTAATTGTCTTTGTAAAATAAATATCAAGAGAGTCAATAATTGCAGAACTGCAACTATCTTCGAAAGTTTTTGCTTCATTTAGAAATGTTATAAAAAATAGCAAGATTTTCTTCCAAAATCTATGTTTTCTTAATGAAATGATACACTTATTAAGCATATGCATGGTGGCTCTGCCAGTTGCTGAGTATGTTTCTTTCAATAATTCACTGGAGCACTGGGAAAAAAAAAAAAATCATAGAATGAGTTTGAGAACCCTCAATAAGATGAACTTGGACTAAAATTCCACTGATCATGTGACCTAATTTGTGGATCAGTGCAGTACTTTTGGACTCCTAGAATTAACTGTTGTTTCAAGACCAATAATCCTCACAAAATCTAATTCTGCCAATACACAGTCACTCTGATAAAAGGCTGAATGTCCTGTTAAAGGCAGCTAAGAAAAGGATCAACAATATAAAGTAGCTGCGAAGCAGTATATCAGATTGTAAATGAGAACTATCAATGCAGACATGATGCACATAAATTGCTATGAGTTCAACATTATTAAAGTTTATATATTTTAATACATAATATGTATTACTATATATCACACATGTTGGATCATCTTTTAAAGAAAGTGTGATTTGAAATTTACTTTCAGAATTCAATATTAGACTTTATATATCATATATATACACATATATATGATATATATGTATATACCACACTTAGGATCATCTTTTAAAGAAAGTGTGATTTGAAATACTTTCAGAAATGGAATTTGGGGGCCTGTGAGATAGCTCAGCAGACTAAGTGCCTGCTTAGGCAGGCGCGGGGACCAGGATTCCAACCCTGGCACCACATGCGTGCTGACCCCGCCCCCAGGTATGCTGAGCTGTTTACAGAGTCTGGGCATGTGCATGCTTATAATTCCAGCACCGAGGAGACTGAAAACTCACTATAAGTCTGAGCTGCATAGTGAGACGATGTACCAAGTGCATTTTTTAAAAATGGAATTTGGGTTAAGTAAATGAGAAAGCAAACATAATTTAATGGATAAAACAGCATGGCTGTGAATTGTTAACAGGCATGGCCGCCGGAGGACTGAGAGTTGTCCTGGCCATGTGACGCACGTTCCGTGCTTCATGGTATTGAACTGTTAAGCCTGGTTTTACAAGTAGGGCGGAATCCATCGATCCATTGTCAGTAGCTTGGAGAATGGTTAATGTCTTGCTTAATCAGTAGATTAGGACTTTTCATTGATTATGGCATATACAGTAGTTAGCAAGGGAATTGAAAAACCGAACCACATGAAGACAATGTAGAATAATGGATGAGAGATGATTATCAAACCTGGGATCATAACACTAGAAATGGCACCCTAATTCAGTTGTCTTAAAAGTCTAAAAGAATTGTGACAAATTTTGATATGGAAGATAATCTTAAGGTTTCATTTTGTGGGCGAGTCTGGGAATGTTTGAAGTTTGGGGTATGTGAAGTAGTGGTGGGACACCCAGGAGTGGAGACTAATGGGCCCCATTAGGTGCAGGAAGTGAAGGCTGGAGGGTGGTCAGTATAGCGTGGGCAAGTGAGGCGACAAAACACTCTTAACGCACTAAGAAGGAATAAAGATGTAAAGCAAGGTCTGAGCTTCAGGAAAAGCATTACTACGGGGTCGGAGGAAAGAATAAGCAAAGAAAACAAAACAAAGTCAGTAGAAATAAGGAGAGAATTGGGGTACTTGGCTGTACATACGCCCCCAGAAGAAGGGGGTCTGGCCATCAGGCATGGTGATAAGGTACAGCGGAGAGCCTCACTCACCACTCCCTCAATGTATCTCAAGCTACTTTTTTAAAAATGATTTTTCCCTTTGTATATCTTTTCCTCTCAGCCTCTTTATCCACAAGACTCTCAAAGCGATCTGAATATTTATTTTTATCGAACCAGTTTAGAAATGTGTTTTTCACGAACAAGAACATTTTTCTTAGGACTGCACTGGTATACATTTATTTAGCCATATGCAGTTAGCACAGAGTCTGAGAGATAAAAGACTTTCAGTATGTATGTGTCTACTGAATAAATAGTTAGTGTCTGGTATTTGTTTTTTATGAATTGGTAGCTTCAGAGATTTTTTAAAAATCCATACTCTTCCAAATCATCAAATAAAGCCATTCATCATATAAATAATTGTTAGCTCTAGAGATGTTTTTAAGCTAGATTTTAAAGGCTATAGTTTCCCCTCAAAGAAACTTAATACATATCTATGATTTAGGGAAAGCCATGATATGCTAAAAGTATTTAAACCTTCAAACTTCTCTCCTCCAACGAAATCCTGTTTTATTTATGGCTACTCAGTTAAGATTTCTTGTTAAAACAATTCTATACTTTAAAATAAATACATATATCTTAAAAAGCTGGAAACCAATACTATTTCCCAAGTTTTAGGTTTTCTATGATTAAACATATTACCTTTTTGAATATTTTAACACTTTTCATGTTGACCAAATTTTCTTGTTTTAAGTTATTTTAATTTGAGTCTACATTTAAAGCCCAACAGTAATGACATAAATGCCATTTCAATCACTAAATGTTTACTAAACTTTATTATGACTCTTCCCCACATTGTTTCATTTTTATTTATTACAGATCACATTTTAAATGCCTACATCCTTTATTTGTGGTCCTTAATTATATGCTAGCTAATGTAATTTATGTGTGTGAATATTGTTTCTTTAGAAGAAACTAAAAGAGCCCTAAAGTCTGAAGTGAGAAGAAATGAGAAAGTAGAGAATTAAAACAGGAAAGTGGACTTGCATAAACAAACATGACTATACTGGTGTCAGGGGGCGCAGAGAAGAGAAATCCTATCTGGAAAGAAGAAGGGAATGCTTTTGGAGGAGGACATATCTGAGTCTAGTGTGAAAAGGAACTCATCAAAGAAAGAGGCATACAAAAGAGTTTTCAGAAAGAAAAAGGCACATAGGCAGCTTCACAGGGAAAAGTAATGGTGCATTTAGAGAACCTCAAAAAGATGGGGGAAGGTCTCTGATTCCCTTAAGATTATATACTGGACTGTATTCAGATTTTTAAAAACTGTCTACTTTGGAAATCATGACAGTTGATTGCCAGTTAATGAGAGTTTGGTGCCATTTCCAAGCCAGTTTTAATGGAGAGATTTTGGAGGGGACAGAACAATCATAGGCGCATAGGAAACTTGATGAAAGCCTAGGATGAGTTAGTCTTGGCACGATGAGCTTGCATTTGGAAGGAAGTCTGTGTAGTTCCCATATTTAAAACATAATTTAAAAGGGACTGCAGCCAAGTGATTACCACAGTAAATCACAGAATTATTGGAAAAGCTGCAGACACCAGAGTCCTGGGGACTGGAAGCCATGCAGTAACCTTGCCTGGATTTTTCACAGAAGAGCAAGTAGAATGAGAAAATTTTGCTTTATGCTTAACCTCTGACCTCAAGCTTTAAAATAATAAATTCTTTTAGCACTGTTAGCATATACTGGTATTTTAGCAAAAAATCAAAACAAACAAACAAAAAACCATTGCTTTCCGTGCTTTCTATCTGTGTCTTTAAGAAACTTTAAAGACTCTGTAATCCTCTACTTGTACCCTTTGTACCCCTCCTGTTACCCACTTTGGCAGATCAGAGATAATGGAAGAGTTGGTGTTTGTAGTCACTGAGCAAATGCATGGCAAAAAGTGAAGAAGGTCCAATAGTCTTCTAACTAGCTTAGCTTTGACGATCTAAAAAAGAAAAGCAGCCCGTGAAAGAGGTGGAAGAAACCAAGAGGGAAAATAATTGCAACTTAAATTCACTTAAGTTAGAGGAATTTTAGCTTATAAAATTAAGGTAACCTTTAACAAAGCAATATCAATAGATAATGCGGGTGCAAAACTCAAGCCTATATGTGTGGAGTATTCATTTATTGCTATATTCCAGTGGGAAGAGATTTTAAGAAAACATATGTATAAGATATTGGACAATGATAAGTAGCAGACAGTGATAAAAGAAAGAGCAACCTTAGTAGGCAACAGAAAATGATGAGGAGAGTTCATTCTAGATAAACAAGGGAGATAAAATTCCCTGCACACATTTCTGAAGAAACTGGTGACTTGTAAAGATCCATAAGGTGGAAGAAAGTTTTCCAAGAAGGTAGTTCATTAACCATGAAGGCTCGGATGTGGTTAAGGAAGAGAGAGATTGACTAACTGTAAGTCAAGTATGGCCCTGGGGGCCGGTCGAGCCAGCCTGACCCTGGGAGGAATTTCCTTTTACTTCTGAGGCTCTGAAAATTCTGAAACGGTGTGAAATAGCTCATTTACTTGTACAGTTTGAAAAATCACTTGCTAGGAGACAAGAGTGAACTTTGAGAAAGCTTGGAAACCATTGGAAGGCTTGAGCAGAGGAACTGCGTGAGCTGATTTGTGTTGTGTGGGGATTGCTCGGGCTGCTAGGTGGAAAAGTGACAGCGGTGCATCGCGGGAAAGCAGCAGCTTTAGGGCTCCCACAGGAGCACAGCTGGAGGGTGATGGTGACAGGGAAGAGAGCCAGAAAGTAAATGAGTGTGGACCATTGTTTGGAAGCTGAGGTAGGGCTAAGCACCTCAAGTGAGGTGTGCTCGGGAGTTGCTTTCTCTATGGTCCTAGGAGAAAACCCATTCCTTGCCTCTTCCGCCCTTAGACATGTGTGACCAAATCATCTCCCTCTGTGTCTCTTATCAGGACGCCTGTGTTTGTATTAAGGGAACAAATGGATAATCTCACTACGTCAAGACCCTTAATTATGTCTGTAAAATTTATTGTTTCCTGGAATTGTCTGTCACCTGATAGCATTAGGAAACCATTTTGTAGTCTACTACACAATATTAGGTTTGGTGTTACAGTTACTTTCTAAGTGCAGATTGGAGAGTTTATTAGTGGGCTATTAAGAAATGGAAGAGTGGGCTGGGGAGATAGCTCAGTAGAATAAGCGCTTGCCTTGCAAGTACAAGGTCCTGAGTTCAATCCCCCGTACTGCCAAGAAAATAAGAAATGAAAGAGTAAGGAAAGTGCTTCCAGACCTTATATATACACCAACACTTAACAGCTATGGACCACATTACAGTGGCATACCTGCAAAATTTCAGATCCTCAAGAAATCAAAGCAGGAGGATCAAAAGTTCAAGCCCAAACTGAGCAACTTAGCAAGACCTTGACTCAAAAATAAAAATTTAATGCTTTAAAAGGTGATAGTAGGAGGGTTGACTACCGTGCAAGATCCTAGGTAAAACTCACTAATGGAAAATGAAAAATAATAATAAAGCTTATTAGTAACATCTATAGAATAGAAAAAGAAAAAAAAATAGTGAAAAGTTGGAGTAAGTTGAAATACAAAGGTCATTTAAGTTGTGTTTGTTTAATTCTGGATAAATACAGCATGTTCCCTTTCAGGGTTAGTAGAAGACACAAATTAGGTCAATAAACAATTTTTTTTTTTTTTTTTTTTTTTGGCTGATTCATTTGGCCCTGAGGGTGGAACTGGCATGGCATGTGGTGCTGGATATCAAACCCGAGTCCCCTGTGCCTGCCTAGGCTTGCCTAAACAGGTGCTTTAGACCACTGAGCTATCTCCCTGCCCAGGTAAACAAATTCTATAGAAGTTTCATAGAAATAAGAAATACTGAGCTCTTTAAAAGTCAAGGTAAGCAAAGATAAGAGAATCATAATGAGCTGTATTTTACTTTAAGATTTTCTTGTGCTTTTTGTTATTTTACTGGACAAGGCTGCTTTTTTAAAACTGGCATAATCATGTGTAAAGAGCAAAATGTTGCAGAAGTCAGTGCTACCTTTGGAAGTCAAAGAATTGATGTTCTGAAATATAAGATTCAGAGCTTTAGTTGGAAGAGCTTTCTTCAGTATTGATGTTTAGAATCATGAGAGGAATGCTAATGTGGCCTTGATTGCTTAACCACATGAAGTGTTTGACAGACCCACACAATCTCTAGAAAGGCATCTTTGTGACAGTTAGTGGCCAGTGAAGAACTCCATTGGTTTACATCTGTGGCCAAAGGTCAGGGTTGGTTTATGGTTTGCCTACTAACCTAATAACTAGATATCTCATAATGATTAGAAAATATGAAATAGTCTTATGTGAACAGAACTAGTAAAGATAATTTCTTTTCATCATTATAGATCCACTAATTGATAAATGCTTACTAAATGCCATAAAGAAATGCCAAAGTTTCTAGAATTTTCTTTTCAAGGACGTAAAGTAATATAAAATTTTTCTAACTATATTTTCAGTGCTCTGATTTAGGCATAGATTTTCTTAATTTATTTGACTAATCATTGTGGTCGATTGCCAACTGGTGGTCAAATTGTTACACTCAGCAGAACTGAACTAGCATGGTGCTGGGTGTGGGAGGCCCACCTGGAGATTGTTGCCAGCAGCGTAAGAGGCAGAACTGGAGAGGCTGTTAGGGAAGCTGTGGAAGCTGTTGGGGACCTGTTGGAAGCTGCTGGTTCTCTCGAGCTGTTCTGCTGGGTGACCTTGTCATGCTGACTTTCCTGATGAATTTGGCTGTTTTCATCAGAGGAGAGGCTCAGGACGTCATTGCCACTGAGGATGACTGCATTTCATTTTGTGGAGTTCTGGTATCTTGAGCATCACTTCCTGGCTCTGGAGGGGAAGATGGTTCACAGCTCAGTCACTTGGGGATGCTGGTCATGTTGGCTTTCTTGATAGGAACTCAGCTTTTCTCATTATCAGAGGAGCAGAGGACCTCACTATCACTGAGGATAGTTGTGGTACTTTTCAAGGGAGCTCTGGTTCTTACCTGAGTGTGGCTTCCTGGCTCCAGTTCAGATCCCTCAGCCTGCTTCCACAGATCCTTCATCCCACTGGCACAAACTTTCTAGTTTCTACCACTAACCTTTGGACCTTTCCAGTGCAGATCTGTGAGGCAGGCCCGCATGAGACATTGTCATGGGCTCTAGGCCTCCAGGTGGATTCGCAGGAAGCATGTAATGGACTGTAGGTCTTCGGCTGGACTCATGCAGAGCATTATTGTAGGATCCAGGCCCTCAGCTGGAATATTTAGTCTTCAGTGTATGGACAGATTTCCTTCACTCTTGTATGTGATTCATTGGGTGGTTCATTATAAAATAATCTTTAAAGATTATTTAAAATAATCTTTTAAAAAATGTTTGTTCCTTTGCAAGACCCCAAACTACAATAATCATAGTTTAGTTTTGCTTTGAAGAGTAATATTTACTTAAACTATTACCTACAAGGTGCTTCTTCCTGGTTATATCAAATACTTTCAGTCTGTTTTTAAAAACTGCACTCTCTAACTAAACACTTTTATTTATTTTTAACTTAGTAGCAGTCAGCAGGACACAAGATAAAAGTTATCTAACAGTTATGACCTAAGCAATTGCAGCTAGAATTGGGATATTAATGGTTTTGTAATAGTTTATAAAATACTCAGAATGTGTGAGAATAAGTCAGTCATAATGATTAATTTTAAAAATTATTTTCTAGCAAGCTACCCACCAGAAATCTTATGATCAGTTGGACATCTAGTAGGAGAGACCATCTGACTGACTCAGTGAGTCGGAAGTCAGAAGAGCAGTGGACCTGTTTGGTCTGTACCCTGGTGAACAAGCCATCTGCTGAGACATGTGATGCTTGCTCCACCTCAAAGCCTGTTGGTAAGACTGGATGCTAATTTTGCATTCATTTCTAAGGTTGTTAATTATACCAAACCAGGTATACCTCTCTGTCTTGCTACATTTTACTAAGTGCTTTCTTTCTGTAAGGTGTAAAGGGCTTGCTTGTCTTTGCATGTAAACCATGCTGATATTCTGTTGAAAATATTTTTTAACAGGGAGGGAAAACATGCTTGTGCTAAAACAGTGTGTGTCTTTGTATCTCAAAAAACTGAGATGATCGCATCTGTTCTCTACTGTTTCTAATGAATTATTCAATAAAGCTTTGTTTTATGCAGATTTCAGCAACTTTTGAGTTTGTTATTCAGTCCAAGTGTTTCATAAATTGAAAGGGAGGCTTTCTGTAAGAATATCTTTGCAGGTGGAATTGAAAAATGCTGAATTTTTTCTCTTCTTTATCCTTCCTACCCCTTGTTATTAAAATCTTTACCCAGACAATTGTACTGATTTCATTGAAATCCTTCAAAATAACTCTTTATAGCTCACAATTTCATGCGTTCAGAGAATGCAAAACCTCAGAAGAAACCTGTGATTAAGAAACCATCTCATTGATGCAGCTTCTATTGTGCTCTCAAAGTGTTATTTCTTTCTTCAATTAGAGATGAGAAAGTTCGTTCTTGACTTCTAGACCCCTGCATTTTGTTCGCTGTCACATTGTCTTTTGTTCCCTGGGCCTGCAAGGCAGGCATCGCCCCTTGCACAGCTTTTCTAATAGCCAAAGGGACTGCACCTCCTATTTCTTCTCCTTTATGATCATTCGATGGAAAAAGCCCTCAGAAAAACCACAATCTTCACTTTCCACATCTATTTCAACATTCTGAAATGCCTTTACATGTCTATTTGTCATTACTTTGCCTGAGTATGAAAATCAATATTTTCACTGCAGTTTAAATATAGTACAAATTCCAAAATTCTAGGATGTTTTGTTAAAACATTATATTAAATAAATATTAAGTCTTTGTAATTAATCTTCACTTCTCCTAAACCTTTCACTGTGTCTTATTCATAAAAGCATTCTTGGAATGCATACAGAATTGTCTGTTTTATGGGATATCATCTATTAAATTATTATTACTTTAATGCTTTGCCTAATATTAACAAAGCTGATAGCTGATTAACTGTTTAATGCTTAAAAGTAATCCAAAGCAAATACAAGTCTTTGTTAACCTCATTTCTGGGTATGTATAAATTGCCAACCTTTGTATTTTAAATACTTCCTGACTAGAAGTTGATTATAACTTGTCCAAGCTCACTACCATACCTTAGGAAATAGATATAGATGAACTAGAGAGAGACATTTTTTTTTTTTTTTTTTTTTTTTTTGCGGAACCAGGGATTGAACTCAGCCCCTTGCGCTTGCCAGGGAAGTGCTTATTCCACTGAGCCATCTTCCTGGCCCCCGACAACTAAATTTTTTGATCAGATAAAAATATTTCAAGTGGTTAATATATTTTTAGGAACATTGCAGAATAACGCCTTTCTCCTTCCAGATTCAGTGTTCAAGAATGAAGAAAATTCTGTTGTCTTTGACAACTTAGTGAAGTACCCTTGTAATAGCTTCGGGAAAGTACATACTGAAGTGAAAATCAACAAGAAAACTGTATTTGGAACTACAACTCTTGTCTTGACTGATTTTAGCAATAAATCCAGTACTTTGAAAAGAAAAGAAAGCCAAACTCAGACACCAGATGGGGAATTTCAAAATTCTCTTCCTACAAACGTTTGTTTTAGTGATACACGGCACCCCTCTAAGGAGAGAACAAACTATATAACTCAAGTATCTAACAAAGTAAACATATCTCCTACAGTCTGCTCTCAGTCTGAATTATTTAGTTCAGCACATAAAAAATTGAAAACAACCCACTACCCAACACCAGATCGCAAAAGTTGCAACACTGGATTTTCTAACAGGTATGGTATGTCTATCCATCGTCTTTAAGGTATTTGCACTAAGCTTGTTTTAAGATATTTTTAAGATCTTTAAGGTATGTGTATTGCATAGATTTTAAGGTAGTACATCCAGGGCTAAGGAAGTTGAATTGATCTTGGTAATGTAAGTCAAACCCTAAAACTATTATACTAATTCTCCTTTCTCTTCACAAGCTTATTATATTAGAGTGTAGGGAAGAAAATATAAAACAAATTTTTCTGCATATATACAAGGTTATTTTTTGTGACACGAACTATACACATGTTCAATGCATAATCTTGGAAAATACTGGCAAGTATAAAAGCAATTTTAAATCATCCATAATCACACTTGTTATCAATAACCACCATTAGCATTTTAAACATATCATAAGTTAAAAATGTCATAAGTTGAAAAAAATGCATTTAATACATCTAGTTATTGAACATTATAAGTTAACACCATAGCACACTACAGAATATTGATTTTGTCTCCCTGATAATCAAGCAGCTGAGATTCCCTGGCAGCTTCTCGTATCAAAAGATATTACTGTACTGCTTGCTTATCACCAGCCCAGGAAAAGATCAAAATCCAAAACTTGAAGTGTAATTTCTAATGTATGCTTTGCTGCTTTCACAATCATGACAAAGTTGAGAAAGCCTAAGTAGAGCCATTGTAAGTCAAAGAGCATTTATATTTCTTCCAGTGAAAGATGCCATCCTTATAGAAGAGCTGTCACTCATAAAAGTTTAGTGTATGTTCTATATTTTTTAAAAACTCTGAAATGCCTTTAGTGATATTTCTATTAGCAAGTAAGGTTGCATTTCATACAGCCATGTGGGATAATGTTCTTATTTCAACCAAAAGCCCTAAAAAGGCAAGCATCTTAATTTTATATCTCAATGGAAAATCTTGTAATTCCATTTAATACACACTCCCAGGCTTGATATGACCCTCCAGATTACCAGCTACATGTCCACACCATCTGCAGTTGCTGTTAACTAAGAAGCAGAAAACAGACAGTATCATCTCTTTCACTCACTAAGGAATGTTGCCAGCCCCCGAAGCTGTCTGTTAGTGCTCCACAACGCACTTCCTTTATCTGTTTGGGCTTCCTACCATTGTAAGACATTTTTCTATGATTTTTTTTTCCCAAAGCTGCTTTAATTTTGTTGTTGTTGTTGTTGTTGTTAGAAAGCATTTTTAAATGAACATATACCATGTGAATGAAAGACCTTATTTACATGAATGTCTTTTCAAAGATAGGCCCACTTACTTTGGGTGGACTCTAAGGTCATCTCAGGTGTAATCCTGACGACTGAATTGTGCTCTGCTGTGCTGTGGCTCTGTGGTGGGAAGGTCCTCTGCTGTGCAGTGGGGTGAGGGGCCGCCTGCTGTTTCCTCCTAGACAGAACTCTGAAGAATCCTTAAGGATTCTTCCCTAACAATTCTGAGGCAGTTTTTCTTCCACACATGGATTTTGTCCTGATTTCTTGTTGTAACTCTAAATTTACCATCAGTTAATTTGTGACTGATTTTCAAAATATTTTGTTCATAATTATTTCTGACTACTGTTCTAATTTCTCTTCGGATTCTCCATGTGGGTTATGCTCAGGAGGACCAAACTTTTTAACCTACTGGGTAAATGCACCGCCTTTTTACTCTAACCCTAATTTGTGTCTTGTGGAGGAAACCATCAAGACAATACTGAAGCAAGCCTGAGGAGAAAGTCACTTCTGAACAGCTTTACTGTTTGTGGCACTTGAGTGGAAAGAAGTGGAAGTGAGCAGTTTAAAATACTGTGCCATTTGTACTCAGATGAAACGTCTTGCCATATTTTTATTTCTTTGGTGCTTTTTAAAAAATATCTCTGACAATTTAACTAATGAATTAGGGTTTTAAAACAACATTAATGTAACCTTAAATTTAAATGATTTCTTCATAAGCCATTAGTAATATAATCATATGATTAATCACAGTGCGCAGCTTCACTCAGAGCTGCTGCAGCCCTGTGTATGTGCTGAATATGGGAGCACCAGGACAGAAAGTCCACAATCCATCAACATCAACTAGCAGAATAAAAGTCAAGCGATGAAATAAATTCACCCAGCAGCCCTTCTGCACCCAGCTACTTTACAAGGAATAAATTGCAAATTACTGTCATTTATTCCATTTTTCTCCTTATCTGGCAGCAACAGTGTTTATCTTATAGACAAGACACCAGAAGAAGCTCTCAACATAATACTGCTGAAGCAGGTGGTCCACTCAGAATTTATAGCCAGCTTTTTTTTTCTTTAATAATTATAGGGTGATTAGTTTGACTTTTGTGCTCTTAAGTTTTGATTTCATTACCACACCATGCACCCTATGCTGATGAAGCATGTTTTGATTGGTCTGTAGATGTACTTAAATATTGTCCATCTACTGGATTGTAAAATAGATAAATGAAAAAAATTAAACACTTAAGAATAACCACTACACAGAGTTTTAAATCTTTGATCCAATTATTATAAACACAAAGCCAAATAGTAATACATTTTCAAGGAAAGCATATGTTCTAGGTTGAATTTTTTCCAAGTTGATGCAAAAACTCACATAGAGGAGGGAAATGATGCTCTGAAAATCACTGGTATTTTCATATATCTACTGCCACTAGCAGTATGGAAGGTCAACTTGTGATCAGCAATCCTGGGAGTGACAAATTGAACTTGTTTTGGGGTCATCCATTTGGAGTTCTTAATCCCTCAAAACTTCAGAACCACCTGGGGACGTCAAGAATGAGTCATTAAGCTTTGTTTGTTTTAATGCTAGAAATTAGCTTGGAGGACAGAATCCACATTATATAACATTGATTAATTACAAAACATTCCAGCCAATATTTGTATTATAATGAGTGATCCTAATTGCAACCCAGTTAAACCATGAGAAGATGATCATTTAAAAGTGTAAAAATAGCGTTCACTTTGAAAATATAAATCTTTACTTGATTCACTCTTTGCTGATAGTTCTTACATGACCTTTTTAACTTTCTTTATTCATAAACACTTACTGAGAACAAAACAAATTTTGACTTAATATCAAAATTATAGCCCAAAGGGCCAAATTCAACCTAGCATCTGTTTGTGCAGTTTTATTTCCATTTCATTGATTAATTTTTATGGCTTGTTGTTACTAGCAACCGAATGAAGTAGTTTCCACAGAGACCATGAGACCCTTAGACTTAGCATGGGTGTTACCAGAAGATGCTTGGATCTGTGATATTACGGTGATCTCACTCTGGATCTGTGATATCACCACGCCACTTAGAAGGCAACGTTCGAAATGATGGTACTCATCGTCAGAGTAATTCACTCTCTGTGCAGAACTCATGCAAGAACATGTTCTGCTGCATTTTAGAAAGTTTTCAAATAACAATTGAAACAAAGAGGAGCCAAAATGTACTCAATTAAGCGGAACATTAAATTATCCTGGATAATGTTTTCTATCATAAAATTAAGATTAGTTGTGCATATTTAGGGCTGATGTGACCACAGGTGGCATTGGTACAACTTGCCGTGCCTATGAATCACCTGGGGATCTTGGTAATGAGGACACGTTTGTTCCCTAGGGGCCTGGGGTGGGGCAAAGCTCTGCGGAATGAGCTTCGGCTGACTTGATTCTATTTGGAGCAGTGCACTCCGTACCAAGGATTAAAGAGCATAATACGAGGTTTTTTTCTTTAACCTTACACCAAAGTAGAAACAGAATGGAAAATAGAAATGAACCAGAGTGAAGACAACTGGAGTCTCCTTTTTCCTTAATCCTGCCCTCTACCTTTGCCCCTCTCCTCAAAAAAAGAAAGAAAATGAAAGCAGCTTTAGTAGTAAACAATCTGCACTTTTCTTCCAGGTTGCAGAAAGTGGGTTAGAACATATTAAGCTGACTCTTGCCAAATACAGCTACCTTTAAAAATAATATAGAAAATGATTTTATATGTTTGATTCTAATTAGCATCATTTCATTCACTTCTCCTAATATCTTAACTCCCTTCTCCTTGAAATTATCTTTGAACACTATGAAACCACTTCAGTTTTGTCTTGATTTTTAAATTTTCTTTTCTTTTTTATTTGGTACAGGGTCTCACTATGCAGCTCGGACTCGTAGTGACCCTTCTGTCTCAGCCTTCTCAGCCCTGGGATTACAGGCGGGCACCACACCCAGTTCGAAGGCCAGCATGACATGCAGTACTAGGGTCAAACCCCGGTTCTTGTGCTTGCCAGGCAGGCTCTTAGGCCACCCAGCTATCCCCCCAGCCAACCACTTCACTTTTGAAATTGCTTTACTTTTCTGTAGCCACCCAGATATTTAACTCCTCAGAGGCAGTTGGTAGAAAGGAGTGTTGAGAAAAAGAAAATGATTGCTCTGATCCTCAGCTTTCCTATTTTTGATTCGCTGTTACCCATGACTCTAAAATATAAGATGCCATCCTCCCTCTTGAAAAAGCTACCAAGAAAATAGTTGCTGGTGAAATGTTTAACTGATAATGATTTCATTAGTATTGTCTACAGTTTGCTTCTATTTTATAAGTAACTGCTATCAATAGCTTCAGGAACTGCCCTAAGAACGTTTAAGTCCACCCCAGCAAATGTATCTTTTTTTTTTTTAAATCTATGTTTAAACATTATTTTATATAAACAACTTTCAGCCACTTCAACTGCAAAAGATCGTATGCTCTGGAGATTTGGATGCTTGGAGGCATCATAGAAAAAAGTGTATTCTGAAAGATGTAGTTTAGGAAGCAAGGAAAATTATACTTGAATTTTAAACATTTAAAAAATTATGTATGAGTGATAGTTTATTCAGAAATTTCCTCAAACCTGAGAAAGGGTAAATTGTATCACTAAAAAGTTTAACAATAAGAATATTAGTGAGAGGGTCTTCTGGTTTGGTTGGGTGGCTCAGTTTTGTTTTGTTCTTTTATTCTGAGTTATGGTTCTGAGAGGCCAGCATGGCCTTGAGCATGCGCAGTGTATGCTTGGGTTCTACCACTGAGCTACTCTACCAGGGCACCCCCTTTGATGTGAATATGCCAGCTAGGTTATTAAAAATCTATTATAGAAACATTATTGAAACTTGAAAATACAGGAAAATAATAAGCTCCATTACAAAGAAGAAATTCTTCATATACAACTAGAGTACAAGATCATCTCCTGGGCTTTGCTCACTCTGTAGGCGTGACCTCTGAATGCTCTTGACTCCACTGTGCAGGTGATAAAGCTTTTCTACTGAGTTTACAAAGTACACATCTCTGCTCCTCCAGGCAGGCTGTTTCTTGCTGACGACTATTTTAGTAGCCTTGATCAAAGAAAAGCATAGAAAATTGTCTTGAGTAGACAGAGGGGAGAGTGATCTCCATGACCTTGTCAGATCCATTTATGAAAGTTTCTACTCATGAGAAAATAATTAAAGAACATTGTGATTCTAGTTGCTTTATGGGGCAGGGAAGAGCTAGACTTGACAATATTTTAGAAAAAATAGAAATGACTGTAACATTAGGTAAAAAAGGACTGAAATGAAGGTTTCATCAGAAATGAAGGTTTAATAAGATTTAATCTACTGGATACATCTGCTGTACTGGTGTGAATGATCCCTTTAACATGATTGTGCTAGAGTTGTTTTGTAACTTGTCATTACAGCGAACTTCAAACGAGTACCACAGTTGGTCCTTGCACCTTAAATGCTGGCAGTCCTCGATGCAGGAAACACAACCGCCTCTGTGTTCTCCGGGTTGTGAAGAAGTCTGGCGAAAACAAAGGAAGGCAGTTTTATACTTGTCCGCTACCTCGAGAAGCACAATGTGGATTTTTTGAAGTATGTAAAAGATTAATCAAGCTTACTATAGTGTAACTGGATTTTGGTGATTAAAGTAATCAATGCCTTTTCAGTTTTACCTTTTCGTGTTAGATGGCAATATAAATATTCAGTCAAAATCTTGAATGCTGAACAATTTAGAATTCAGAAAGGTTCAGCAAAAAATAATATGATAAAATAGCAGCCAACGGACTAGTAGAGTATCATACCTGTAATCACAGGTTAACATATTTGGAAAAATGTTGCTGTTAGGACACAAAGGTAGGCTAAGACATACTAGGACTACGCTGATGGTTAAGAATCTAAGGTAAGAATGTGTACATCCTCAATCTGGTGCTATATCAAAAACCTTGGTTTACACATTGGGTAAAAACAATATACATGCCTTGGGTTTACACTGACCTTAGTGAATCCTACTACATAAACTTGATCAAATTTAGCTATAGGAGAGTCCTTCTGCCTTTCTAGTCTATGGGTCTATCACTAAAAGTGAATCTTATACAACACACAAGAATCCAGATCATTAGTCTCACTTTCTGCATGTGTCACTGTACTGACTGTACACATTTTCCCAGTTGTAATTCATTTGGTGTTTAAAGAAATAAACAAAAAAAATACTGATCTGTTTTAGTAAAATTTTTCAGGTTGGGCTGAGAGATGAAGTATCTTTCTTCAGCATAACTTTCTTAAGGAATTTCCCTGGAAAGATTTGATAAGTGATTTTAGATTTCTATCTGAAATAAGATGTTACTCTGTCCTTCACAAGAAGTCTATAGATAGAATGAAAGAAATATTATATATTGCTGATAATGTAATAGCTTCTTTCATACTTGACTTGAGGCTAAAATTAATAAGAATAAGAATAAGAATAATAGAGTAGAATCTGCCTGATTTACCCGACCTGGGTAAGTCCTTATTGGCTTCTTTCTTTCCCTAAGAGACTAAGGAAGCTTAGCACTAGAGTTTTGACAAATCTTTGATTTTACCATTTTAACTAAAACTTATAGCAGGGACACTGAAGATTACTGTCTAACAAGGTTCTGGTAGTTTTCAATTATTCTTAATAGAAGAAAGGGACTTTTGCAAATATACTTCTAGGTAAAGGAAAACTCAATTTTAACACTTTTTTGTGTGATTCAAACAAATTCGTAAGGGATGCTTCTTAAAAGAAATAAGCTTTTTAAAAGCATAACAACTAATGACTTGTGTCTGGTTTGCAATGTGAAATTAGTAACAGCAGCTCTGAAGACAACACGACACCAAGCAGAGTGGCCTAGGCTTATTTTGTGCATCACTTAGCTTCCATGGGAGGTTTACGATCCTGTCTTTTCTTTTCCCCCAGTGGGCAGATTTATCCTTCCCACTCTGCAACCATGGCAAGCGCTCCATCATGAGAACAGTGTTGAAGACTGGACCTAATAACGGAAAGAACTTTTTTGTGTGTCCTTTGGAGAAGGAAAAACAGTGCAACTTTTTCCAGTGGGCAGAAAATGGGTCAGGGATGAAAATTATTCCAGGATGCTAGTATTTTCTCTTGCTGTAGGACATCTGGTATTTAATGTCTTCAAACTGTTCATCCTTCCCCTTTGTAAAATGCAAAGGTTGTAAAATATCTGTGGCACATATAAATTAAATTATAACAAGACTTGAGCACTTCATGTTTTAGATGTATCATCTTTCCATTCAATGGCTTTTTTTCTTTACCTTAATACATTTTTCATCAATGTGCAGCATATTCCATTTATAATGTATATTTAATGCATGTAATAATGACAATAAAGGTATTTTAGCATGTTCTTGATCTCTTATAACTTCTTTGAGTAAGCAGTGATTTTTTTAAGGAAAACAATGATAGCACAATAAAATAATAATTCACCCTATAATGAATAATTTGCTAGACTACTCGCAAGATTCATAATATATAATTGAAAGTATTTTATGTTCTTAAAAAATCTTAAGATAGAAAAATATACCTTATAAAAAAAGAAAAATATATCTTATGAAAAACATTTTATTCTAAACAAATGTTAAATTTCTGTCATGTGCAAGGGATAAGACAAATCTTTATAAAACTGCAGGTTTGTTTTAGTGGGACATTATAAGAATTCAGACTAAAAGTAATGTTTATGAACAGAGGTCATACACATTTTTTAAAAGTTGATATATATTTTTCTAATACTGATTTTAACATCTATTAACTTAAAAATAAGTCAGTTTCAAAACCTGAATATATTGCTATAGTTTGTACCTGAAGTGTCCCCAAAAGAACCATATGCCAGAGGGCTGGAGGTGGTTGGCCCTTCTGGAGGTGGGGCCTGTATGATGAAGTTATGGAGGTCGTAGGTGTGCCCTTGAAGGGGCCCTCGGGGCTCCAGCCCCTTTCTTCCTCTGCTTCCTGGCTGCCCTGAAATGAGCACTTGGCCACACTTTACAGGCCCACCACCCCATTCTGCCTCACCACAGTGGAGCCAACTGACCATAGTTGGAACCCTGAGACAAAAAGAACCTTTTCTCCTTCACAGCTTCTTTTCTCTGGTATTTTGCCAGCATGATAGAAAACTCATACACAAATATAGATAGAGTGGCCAGGGTGATACCTCAGTGGCATAAGCACCTGCCTGGTAAGCATAAGGTTCCGAGTTCAATTCCTGGTACTAAAAAAGATTGATAGATGTATTTCCAGTTTTATTTCTACCTTCCCCCCTATTCTCCAAATGTACTCTAAGTAACTATGATTATTTCCAAACAAAAATGAAAGCATCAGTGTGAAAAAAATTTAAATACCAAAAAGGCAGCATACATGAAATGCTCTTGTTTTTAAAATCTTGTGTTAAATTCTTATTTAGAGCAACGTATGTAAAAGATAACATTTTTCTGAACTTGAATTTTAACAAAATTTTAGTAGAGTTTTTATATTCGTTGTGTCCTAGTTACCTCAAACTGAATCTAGTTGTCCCACATAACTTTAGGTTTTGGATTAAATAAAAATATAATACTAAATAGTGAACTGTAGCAGTTAGATTCTTAAAAGTTGTAAAATTTAGAAGAACAAACTACTGGAGATAGTTTCCTATTTCCTATAACTCATGCTGAAAACAACCAAAGTGCACCTACCAAAGCTGCAGTAGAAACCTCACAGTCTTCCTGGTCTTACCAGCCAGTTGTTTGGGAAATCACAGCTACTGGGAAAAATCATGGAAAACCCTAAGCTTTGTAACTGAATTCTGCCTGTGTCTGTGACTGAGTCCTCCACTGTGGGGTGTGAAGCAAGCTCAAGAGAAACCAGCAGAATCACCATTTTATCTACCCACCAAGATAGTTTGAAGTTTGAATCTAACCAAACTATTTGCCTTCTAAGACAAAAATATCAACCCTCTTCACTGGAATAGACTAAAATCCAGAGTCTCTGCCACATAGAAACAGTATTTGGGATACAGTTCACAGTTACACAAACATGATGAAGCAGAATGAGATAATTCTCTTTAATGTGAAACAAGACCTATTCCAAGGAGATCTAGACATTTAAATTAAGCGAAGACTTAAACAGCTATCATAACTATAACTATTGAAGAAAAAGTTAAAGGAGAATACTGGTTGGAAATCTAAACTTTCAAAGAAATAACACAAAAAAATTGAAAGAGCACACACTGGTGTGCGCAGATGAGTGGTAGAGCCGGGACAGGGCCACTGACACCAGGAAACGTGTTTGCTAGTTTTTGTGTTTAACTGCTGGCAAGTGCTGTGTAATTTGCCTACATTCAACCTTTTGAGGTTTGTTTCCTGGTGTTTAAAACTAATATCATAAAATCTAAAGTATATTCATGACAGAAAAGTGAGAGATAGGTAATATATATAAGACAATTATTTCCAGGACCCTTAGCTAGAATAGCATCTTGGTGGAACACTTTCCACAGCTTATTTGATTTAATCCTCTTGCTCATCCTGTGAAATAGATGTTAGTGTTGCAGTCTGCATCTCTAATTTTCCATTCTAAGGAACACAGCTTATGTAAGTTAAACAGGAAATCTATCTCTCGCAGACCACAGTCAGAATGAACTTTAAAGTATTCTCCTTGTCACACAAGACAGAAAAGTGGATATACACAAAACTGCTTATCTTTGACACATAGTGAACAATCTCAGTCATAGGAGAAAGAAAAAGAAAAAAAAACTGACAAGATGAGATTTGAGTAATTTTTTGCCTATGACAAAACTTATAATTTTATGAAAATTTTTTTTAAATTTCTACTACTTTAATTTTCATTACATTTTTAAAATGTAATTTTTTTTTACATTTTTTACAGACTTTTCCAAAGAGATACAGCAATATGAAGGGTGCTAAAAATTATTCAAAGATATGTTTCAGCAAGATTAAGGAACCCAGTTCAGGGCCGTCACACTAGGTATGGAGACCAACAGCACAGGGGCTTGCTGTGTAGGAAAGAGATTGGGCTTAACTCTAATTATAGCCTGGGCAAATGGTGATTTTTCAGCTACAGAGCAATGTAGGAATCAATGGATGGAAATCATTAAGAGTAAACAGAAGAAGCAAGAAGAATCTGGCTAAACCGCCTTAACAGAATTCTTGCTGAAGATAGGCCAGGATGATATATATATAACTTTCATGCTGAAAACATGAAATATATATATATTTCTAAGTACAGCATAGCTGGATGGAAGGACTGATTTCATGTCTCTTTTCACATCTCTGATGGAGGTTTTGCTATACTGACTTAGCAATAACACTTTTTGCTGAAATAGGATTTTGTTAGAAAATGCACAGACAGACAGCAGAAGATTCAGAAGCCTGACTAAAGTTTGGCTAAGTAGTAAATCTTTTAATCACTACTTGCAGAATTGGTATAGAAAATGAAAAATAAATGTTCTAACGAATTTTCTAAATTATGAAACAACTTTTTCACTGGATATCTTTGCAGTGCTTTACATTTTGTCTCAAGCTTGTACTACAGTCCTCTTCAATTTGCTGGTTATTCTGTCTGTACTTACATCTTCCTGCAGTGCTGGCAACTGATCTAGACGCTCCAGCATTCTGCGTGTGCCCTACCACTGGGCCGCATCTCTAGCCTAACTGCATCCCTTAATGTTCCCTTCCTTAAGGAGTTTACGTGACAAGTATTCTTCTCAAAAATCTTAATATTATGTCTTACACACTGTAGAAACATGGTAAACATTTGTTTAATTTAATAATAGATGAAGGTTTAATATAACATCAGTTTATTGAACTTTTTAATATGGTTTACTACTGTTCAAATATGAATGCATTTAAATGTCATTGACAAAATGTCATTGAAAAGTGTTGCTGGTTAGCAAGAATGAAAATGCTTGGTATCTAAAAGCTGTTGAGTTCTATTAATTTAAATAGAAATCTCATTTTTTTGGCATTTTGTAAGTTTGCTTACAAATGGAGAGAGCAGAATGAAAGGTACACATTCACTCAACAGGAAAGGAGACGTGAAATCAGTGCTTCCATCAGCTATGCTGTATTTAAGAGCACATGGAGAAGAACAGTAATTATGTGAACCTCCTCATTTTGTAGAAAACAAGCAAATTGATTCAAACAATTTAATTTTAATTCAGCTAATCTCTTGATCACCTACTACATGAAAAATTTAGGGACAAGGTTTTTTTTTTTTTTTTAAAGATCTTACAAGTACATAGACGGGGCTTACCTAACATGGGAAAATGGCTCTATAAAAAAGAAATGCTAAATAGTGATACAAGTGGGAAAGATCACATCTAATTCATAAACTAGAGCTTTAGGAATGGCAGCAGTTAGAATTTCACCTTGTTGAAGATTTGTGTTCATAGAAGGTCATTTCAGGCAAAAGACCCAGCATAAGCGAAGACGTCTAAGAAGAGCAGCACTGAGACTATATGAAGAATAGCAAATAGTCCTGTTTAGCTATATCATGGGTATGTGAAGGAATATACAGAGAGATAAATGGGTAAGGAAAGACTCGATTCCCATTTCATGGTTATAAATGAAATTCCTACAACGGACCACTTCTGTGTTGTGAGGTTATAAAAATAAGTCCCTCTTTAAGAAACCCACTGGAATATAAGCAATCCAGTGCACACAGACACATGCTAAATGCATGGTGCACAGAAAGAGCTCTTACACATAAAATGGACCTGCTCTGGGGACGGTGAAGATGAACGTTACCCCTCGCCTTGATCTTGACTGTATGTCTTTGAACTCTATATTTTACTGAATTTTGGCTACTCTGTGCTAAGTCTTAGTTACTTCATCTATTAGATGATGACAATAATGGTATAATTCTTATAGGACTATTTTAAGAACAAGGTGCAATATCCTTGTAAAAGCAGAGTGCTGGATTTAGTTTTGTTATCTTTATTTGTAATAATACTACTAGTAGTACCTGATACAACAATTCTCATGAAATGTCCTATATTAGTGACAATTACCTTAAAGAAAGACGAGGCAGAGCATTGTGGCACATGCCCAGAATCCAGCACTGAGAGACAAGAGGCAGGAAGATTCACACATTTGAGTCTAGGCTGCTGGAATCTTGTTAAGACTGTCTCAGAAGAGAAAAAATTAAAAATGGTCTGTGTGAAGGCCCTAGGTACCACCAAAGATAAATAAACAAAGAATTGAATTTCATAAAAGGAACTAGGAAGGAAAGTAAGACTATGGTATGGAAGGATGAGAAAGCACCTGTTGTGTTTGTGAAACAGAGTCCCAACTTTCGAAAGAAGGCATTTGGAAGAAGATGCTGTATTAACTTATATAGCTCTAATGATATCAAAAGCTGAAATGTTAAAAATCAATATAAAAAAGACTTAATTTATGAAACATTGAGAGAACCACCACTTTAATGTAGACATATATTGCGTTCTTCATATAAATCAAGTAGAACAATGACTATAAATCATAAGCAATTCAATTATTCTTGTCCTATTTTCTCTGTATTTATTTGTACCTTATGGTTTTATATGCATGGGTAAAACCAGTATTCCTAGAGCAACTCGTAGGCTCAAACCACACAGCATCCCCAGAGTGATGGACTCAGGCAGACCCACAGGGTCCTGCTAACTCAAACCTGTTCAAAAAAGGGTGGATCAGATGATAAAAGAAATAGAGCACGGTCTGCCTGGGGAATGCTAGACAATGACAAAATCCTACTTCTTAGAAGTTGCAGAGTAAATACCAAGGGGATTTGGGCTGCATCATTTTTTGTTGACTCCTATGACTTCTCCAAGTAGTAAGGGAAGAAAGAGATGATGTTAAAAAGAGATGAAGGAAGGAAGTGAAGACCCAACAGAAATAGATCTTGTGAAGAGAAAAGGAAGGATGAGGAGGAGCACCTGGAACATTTATAGTTGTGCTCTGCACTCATGTTTGTAATCAGAAAAAATGTTTGTTGTACAGAACCAATAGAAATACAGCCTTCTAAATTTTTTATGCTACATACAAGCATTTCAGAATAAGTGCTATCATAAAATGCAAAACTACAAAAAAATTAATGGTCTCATAGCAACAATTCCACATCTACCTTCCCTATTAACATTTTGGTGTTACTCCCAATCACTAGTATGGGCACCTCGGTTTACATATTAATAAATACTTGTCTGCTTTTCACATGCAGTTATTTTTCTCATTATTATGTTACTGCATTCAGCTTGTTTGGCAGCCTTGAAGAGAATTTTTGCTATCAATGGCAGGAAACTGAACAGAGCAGGAAAAATGTTAAAACTATGTATCTATGTAGGTTATTGACTCGTTAGTTTAATAACTTGTTTTCTCAAACTTGAATAATTTAAATGCATTAGAAATGATACAGCATTAAAAAGAGCATTCTTAAAACTCAGACCTAGGATTTGAGTTTGTAGTTATTACTTATTTAAAATAAACAAGCAAATTCTATTGAGATATGGTCTCATTTTCAGGAATAGTCTATTAGCAGGCAGCAGCGAGCACGACAATTAACCATATCAGCACATTAAAGCCTAATGTGTAAACTCAACATAGCAGCAAACACATCCTACCATGGCCTATTAAGTAATCAGAAATGATTGCAGATAATTAGCTCATGAACAGCTGCATAAACTCAACTATTCCATTTTTTCTTTGTCAGACTTGGATTCTTGAAGTGGAAGGGAAGCTTATTAGCTGTATCTTGAACTGGGTGGGAGTGTCACCGTGAAGCAGAAATAGGGACTGACTCTATGTTTAGGTGTATGTTATTGCCATTTGAAATTTCACTCTGACAACACTTCTAATGTTCACCCAAATATAGTTCTCTTGAGGAAAAAATACGGAAACAAGAATATTATCATGTACTAAAAAACTCATAAGCTTGGAAATTGAACTAAGACAATGTTATGGTTTGTGTCTAGATGTCCCCTCAAAGCATCATGAACTTTTATATGGGGCTACTGCAGACATAGATTGGTTCATGGTCTAATGCTGGCATTCAAGGTATGAGTACTTTACTCACCCTAGGGTAGGTAGCCTGCATACAAGTTAAAGTGTCACTTGGTCAGCATACGTTTGCCTACTGATATCTACAGTGTGGTTTGAGCAAGTGCTGTTTCAACCAGTGGAATCTTGTATCAAATAAATTTGATTAAATTGTCATTCTTATACTTCCTGTTATTTTATTAAGTTAACAAAAGTGCAATTTTTGGTCATTCTGTACTTAAATAATTGGATTAGCAAATGGTTAAAGGACGAAAAGGTTTACATTACCTCAGTTTGCCGAGGTTTCAGTCCGTAGTCTGCTGATTCCAAGACTGGGCAGCATGGCAGAGGAGAAGCAGTCCATGGTACAACAGGTAGAAGGGAGTGAGACCTCCTTTTTCTTTCCATTTGTATTCCCTCCACGCTGCAATTCTACTGGTTCATGCTACCCACACTCAGAATTATGCTAAACCATAATTCTGGACTAATCCAAGTGTCACACATCCATAACTCATTTACCTCTCCAAATGCTCATCAATGAGCACGTGAGGCTTTGGGGAGGACATCTAGATATACACCATAACATTTAGCTTCTCTCAAGGATTCTTTCCCATTTTATAATTCTAGGAATTAAAACTAAGAATATGGCTCAGCAATGAAAGATTATACTACCTCTGCTGATTCTAAACTCTTGGATAGTAATTTCTGAATACTTTTATGGAACACTTTATATCATAAATTTATGTATTGATCATTTTCTCATAGAAAGTTGGTTTCATTATATTTGTAGTTCCAGCAAGATTAAAATAGAGATAGATCAGTTGATCAATTGATCAATCAGTACATGGATGAGTGATAGAGGAGCCATGAATTTCACTCACAGAGAATTAATTCTACTATGAGTATTTTATTTTTATTCTCTTCACTTTTATAAATGATCTGCATTTTTATAAGCATTCAATCAAGAAGTAATTCTATGATATTATGCTCTGCTAGGCATAATGAAAACATAGCTAAAAAGTACTCCAAGGGGTTTAAAGTCCTTGGGGAAGTAAGCAGGCAGAGCAGAAATTATAGCTTAATGCTCAAGGACTATGTAGGAGATACAGGGTACAAAAATTCAACAGAAAACATAAACGCCTGAAATGCATAGACACTTTTAAGAAGATATACACATGGCCAATAAATACATGAAAAAATGTTCAGTCACTAAAACAACTGAGGTTCTGTTTTACTCAAAAAACCTTACTATTATTATTTTTTCAATGTATTTAGTACAGGGTCCAGAGGGTCTCACTACCCAGATGTAACTGTTAGTGATCCTCCCATATTCAGCCTCCCAAACCCTGGGATTACAGGGTTGTGCCACCACACCCAGTCTCCTTCGCCATCTCAGTGTGCCCCAGGGGTTGGGCCAGCACAGCATGCCTGGGATCAAACCCCAGCCCTTGAGTCTGCCTAAGCAAAAAAAAAAAACCTTATTATTAAGAAATCAAATAATAAAAAATGCTGACAAGGCTGAGGTTGGGGAAGAATCCTTCTACATTCTTGGTGGGAATGTACACTAGTACAACCACTGTGGAAATTAGTACAAATATTCCTTGAAAAACTAAATCTGGAAATTCCATTCAAGCCAACTATTCCCCTTTAAGTATCATCTCACAAGAGTTAAAAGATATTGTACTACAGTGATACATGTGCACACATATTTATGGAAGGACAATTCCTAATAGCTAAGCCTAAGTTCCTAATAGCTAATCCTAAATAGCTTTCAAGTGATCTATGTCTATCAGTGAAGAGGGGTAAAGAACATATGACATTTAAATGGAGAGAAAACATTCTCTCAGGCTTTCACAGAGAGCGAATTGGTCAAGCAATGGCCATGCCTCATCCACATGGCTAATACTGACAAAGGATCTGCAAACTGTGATACAGGGTTTGAGGATAAATCCTGAGGGGATTTGACTGACCTTGTCAGATACAAAAGTTACATTTCTTGTTATATATGCTTTGCTTTATCTTGGTCTTAACCATCCAGCAGAAAAGTATAAAAATGAAGTATAAAAAGTAAAGCCAGATTCCATATTGTGCTCTTGCCACAATAAAAGGACTAGTTAGAGAGCTTCTGACTACCCCACACCGGTGGGAACGACTCCGGGTCCCAGCCAAGGCACAGCGTGGGTGAGACAGTCTTCCACCCCCTTGGGACACCCCCCCACCACTCTGCAGCACCTCCCCCACACAGCCCGCCCAAGAGGAATTTCTGCCACGTTCCGGGAACACACAGACCCAGTCCTAGCCAGGGTCCTGTGAGTGTGTGGGAGAGCTTCTGACTACCCTGCATCAGCAGGACCGACTCCTGGTCCCAGCCCAGGCTCAGCGTGGGTGACGCCCTCTTCCAACCCCTTGGAACACCCCCCACCACTCCGAAGCACCTCCCCCACCCCGCCCACTGAGTAGGAATTTCTGCCACGTTCCAGGAACACCCAGACCCAGTGAGCATGTGGGAGAGCTGCCTCTCCCCCCTACTCCACCTTGTCCCCTCCAGGCTCAGCTCAGGCCTGGCATACAGGCTTGGGGTGTAACCCTGCAGCTGCAATCCCTACAGAGTGCATAGAGGATAGAATCACCCAGCTAGTCCAGGAGCAGAACATCAGGGGCACAACAGGTTCACCATCAAGGGCAGCAGCAGGAAGGAGCTCAGCACAGCAGCCAGACTCAAGCCAGGCACAGCTGGATAAATCCAGACTTTGTACATCTGCACCTGAACTTCAGTACGTGCTAAGGTTATAACCACAACAAAGATCTACAACAAAGGTCAGAAGACAGTGCTACACAAAATGATGAGAAGGAACAAAATGCAACCTCAGAACCCAAACCCGCCCATTAAAAGTGCAGAGGAAACTAACACAGAACAAATTGGAAATCACACAGGTGAAAGCAATGAATCAATGGCTTCTGAAATAAAGAAAAAGCTGCAGAAAGGTATAGAGGAACTCAGATGGAAATAAAAAAAGAAATCCCTGAATTAATAACATCTGCATTAAAGAATGAAATGCAGAAACATATGGAGGAAATCCAATGCCCACCCAGAACAAGTGTACATTAGGAAAACAGAATGGGAACAAATAAATACCCTAATGCTGCACCTTCAACAACTAGA